CCGCCAACACACACACAAAATCCAATTTGCGGCATTACTGGCTATTGTAAACAGAAGGCTACAAAAGTCATGGATGTAAAAACGTGCAGTATCCAAAGGAGCAGTACCCGAGCTAGCAGCTGCAGCCTACGCAGGACAGCGTGGCCAGTGTCCCTCTTGAAAGCCGTTGCCCGTTCCCACTTACCTTGGAGCTTTTTAAAGCAGGCCGAGTCAGCCTCATTCCAAGGGCTCTTTTATATGGATAGCTATGGAAACAATGCAGCTGCCTGTGCTTTCTCAAGTCAAAAGGAATTGTTTGGCAGAAAAAGTCTTGGCAGTCTTGTGTCCCTGCATAATTCTCATTCGTATTAAGAATGGTTGGATATAATTAGAAATATTTTTCTTATTGAGTATGTGAATAAATCTCCTATGGATAATTTGAGAAGATGATCTGAAAGGAAGGTTCAGGCTGGTGGATAAAGGCAGTGGAGAGGCAGCCAGAATTACTGGCTTCTCTCATAAATTCTGTCTGGCCTAGCTGGGCATGCCATTCAGGTTTGCCTTGCGTCACCTTTCATATTTCACATATTCAACGATAGAAATAAAACATAAATGTTTGTTTTGATTTTGCGAGGGTTAATTTTCACCTGTTGATCTTTTCTTTCCAGCCCTGCAAAATTAAGTACCGTGTATTCGACAGTTTAAAAGGAAGGAAGGTCCTCTACTTGTTCCAATATTCTTGTAGTTTTGGGGGAATATCCCGACTCTTTCACTGTTTTGCTTTTGCCCAAACTGGTCCTCCATACAGGACGTTGTCTCCTGCCTGCCCAGTCGTGTAGCTTGCCTGCAGTGAAGAAGGTTGAAGATTTTCTAGAAGTGAAAAGTGCTTTTGGGGACTACTTCCCAACATTTTCCATGTCAGCACCGCCAGAAAGTAATGATATATTAGTGTAGTTAGACTAGAATAAAGTGGACGTGATTTGGCTGTATCTGTAAAGGGCTTGGTAAGAACATTTCTTTATACTTCTTATATTTCTTTACGTTTCTTCGTGTCATTTAAGGATGAAATACATAGGATTAAGGAAAATATTAAATACTGAGTGCGTCTAAACAAGATATTTCTTAAACTTTTAAGGAGAAATTTCAGCTAGATTCCATGAACAGAACTTGTTTATATGTGACTTTATACTTGAAATTATGACACTCATGTCCTGATCAAAACTTTGAAGATACTGGCACACATTTGCGTTCTTGATAATTACCATCGTAGGGAAAGTTTTCGTAAGAAGGCAATCAAAATGTAAAACCATATATATATATTTTTTTTTTTTTGCGACTACCGAAATGATATCTTAACATTTTCCCAGCTCTTCTTTTTTCTTTACCGACAAATATAATGTTGACATTTCTAGGGTAATGAGAATAAGTTTTGAATCCACTTGAACTCTTTCTCTTTCATATCACATATTTCCAAAGACATTGAAGCTCTAATCTTCAAAAGTCTACATGTTAAAAGGGTCACCCTGCTGCTAGGTTGGTCACCACTCAAAGGGCACATCAGCCATGAATACACAGAAGTGCTTGATGGGTTCACGGTGTAAGATCTGGAGCTGCCTCCACCAAGACAACCTTCCTGGCCTTCCAGCACCCCTACTCTGGCTGGCTGCACTCTGGGCTGTGTGCCCTGTCCCAGGCATCCTGGAACACCAGCCTTCCCAGCATCTCCAGGGGTCTCTTGCCTGTAGCTGGCAGCATCACACTCCTCAGCTGGCTGCTAAAATAAATGTCCTCTTTGGTTCCACTCAGCACATGGTAAACACCCCCATTGTGCTTGCCTCCTTTGGGGATTGTAGGGTACACTGTCAGACTCTCACTCAGCCCAGGCCACCCTTTGAGGCTCCCCTGGGTAAGCTTCCCGTAGCCAGAGACCACCTCCCAATGCTCTGGCCTCCCAGCGCATCCAGCCACTTCCAGACTGAAAGGATCAACATTTTGTGGTACATCTGTAACTTTCTGATGCCAAGACACACTGGTTGGGCACCTCTGCTTTCAGATGAGCTGTGATTCTATTTCCTTATACTCAGCAGCCATTTGTAGTGCCCAAACCGATATTTTCTTATGCCATTCCTACTGCCCCTGCACATTATCTTTATGCATCATTAACTCTTTATTATTTTGTGTTTTTTGCAAAATGTCCTTCACTTTTCGGTCATCTCACAATGATATATTCTGCTTCCTCAGTTTGTAAAGTCCTTTGGTGAATACCATATTTAGATAGAGGCTGTCTAATATATTACTTTTTTGATGTAAAAAAGCAAATGAGATGCCTCATTCCCAGTGGGTGAGAAATACACCTTCATTGTTCCCTGTGCCACTTGGCTCATGATTTGTGACTGGTAAATGTTCTCTGAGAACTAGGGCCTAAGGAATATGTCAGTCAGGATAATCTGCTTTTACACTCTGTGAATAAACCAAAGATGGACATTCACTTCAGGCATTTTTCTTGACTTCACCAATATTTTGACCCCTGCTCTAATGAGTCAGGGACTTTCTACTTTCCACTGCTTACTTACCTTTTGGGATATCTGTCACGTTTAGGTCTATTGACAACTCAGTAATAGAAGGAATTCAAGAATGAATACTGATCTGTGTAGGGCAAGGAAGTTCAAAGGGAAGAGTAGCCACCGACCCTGTCTTCAAGAGGTTATAATCTAACTGAGAAACCAAAAGAGCACCACTGAAGTGGCTCAGGTCACCTTCAGAACAGGATGATAGTAGCTTGAAAAAAATGCAATGTACAAGTTCTTTGCAGGGAGGGAGCCATATTTTATGCATCTGTTTGATTCTTATCAACACCTAGAATGGTGGGAACATATGGAAGGTGTCCCCCAAATTCTGGTTTACAAATTTCAGATGCCCTAGGTTTCTTTATCTTGATCATTCTTGTCCCTGTCAACTGAAACTGGATCTTGGATTTGACTTTTGACTACACACCAACTGGGTATCCTTAGAAATTTACTAAAACTTCCCAAGGCTCTGTTTCCAGATCTATAAAACGGTTCCAAATCTATATAAGGGTTTTTGAGGAATAAATAAGATAATAGCATGTTTAGAAGCATGCTTAGAAGCATGAAAAATATATGGCACCCATTACTAATTCAATAGATATTAACCATTTTGTTTACAATGGCCCCCATCTTTTGTTTGTTCTTACTCTGAACTTGGTTGTGGTGAAGTAGTTTCCTTCATTGCTTGTTTCATTGATCATTTCAATTACCCGGCAAACATTTGCAGAGCATTACCACATGCCAGGCTCTTAGGTGAGCTCCCCACTGCCACCATGGAATGCCGTCCTCTCTTTTGTATCATTTGTATGTTTTATGTATATTAAAATCCACATCGGGGGCACCTGGGTGGCTCAGTCAGTTAAGCATCTGCCTTCAGCTCAGGTCATGATCTCAGGGTCCTGGGATCGAGTCCCGCATCGGGCTCCCTGCTCAGCGGGGAGTCTGCTTCTCCCTCTCACTCTCCCTCTGTGCTCTCTCTTTCTCAAATAAATACATAAAATCTTAAAAAAAAAAAAAAGAACAGATGCAATTGAAAGAAGTGTGACCACAGAATTAAAGAGATGAGAGATTAAGTCTCAGAAGAGTCGGAACCCAAGAGGTGAGTTTCCCATCGGCCATTTCCCTCTCTTTTCCATAGACTGGATCCCAGACCCAGCGGCTTGCCTGTCGAAAACCATGGGCATTGATGTTGTTTTCCAGTAGTGTTGGTCTTCTGATCCAAACTTAATATCTTTGCCCCAGCAGCCCCCATGTTTATTAAGGTCCCATCAGCAGGAATCTATGTTTCCCAAGTGTCCAGTGGTAGAAATTTCTGAGAATCTGCTTAATAAAAGAAAAATGGCAAAATGGTTAGCAAAATGGGAGCGCTCATAATTTAAAGTTCTTGAGAGAAATGGTGAGGATCATTCAAAAGCCATTTAGAATTTGATTTTGTCATCTAATACATGGCTCTTCTCAGTAGTTGCAGATTGAGCTTTCAAATCGTATGTTACTCAGTCCGAATTTGAAATAGAGAGAGGGAAAGCCTGTGTCTGTGAGCACTCATGGGTAGAATTGTTCAGGAAGTTTCTGGGAATGTGCTGCACTAAAATATAAGAATCCCAAGGCTTGTTGTATGCAAGGCATCCAATTTAGCCCTTAGGAGCGAGGAAGTGTGGACCACACTTGGTGCCAATCATCTCGCAGTTCTTCTAGCACAAAGCACATAATCTCTGGATAGATAAGGGAGTTTGGTGAGCTTTCATGGTGAAATCTGGGAGAAGCAAAACTAACTCCCTTAAGACTAAACCAATATTTGCTTTTTCTAGTTACAAAAATAATATAGGTAAAGGGATATTCTAGAAATTTGGAAAAGAACAACAAAAGAATGAAAGTCAAGGGAACGAACTTCTTAATGGTGCTTATAGAGAAAAATGCACTTACTTCTGCATATCTCAGCATTCACTTACCAAGTTGTATCAGGTTAATTATCCAATTAAGAGATAAAATCAGTATGTGTATGGTCTCTATTTTCTTTCTGCTTATCAGATAGTAGGCATCAATACATGTTAGTTGAATAACTAAGGAATAAATGAACATTATTTTGCTAATGTCCCTATGTACATAACATGTTATAGCCTGTAAGCATCTTCTAGGCATTAGCTCGCTTTTTTCTTTCAAAGCTCTGGAATATGGATAGGGCAGATAAACTCTTCTCATTTTATATTTGAAGAAACCATGATCCAGAGGGGTGTGAAATGGCTTGCAGAATCAGAGTGGAACTCGAATAAAGGTTTTCTGCTCCACTCCCCATTGTTTTTAATGCCTAATATATGTAACTCTGACTGTTGGTCATTGTAGAATTACTCTGACTCCTTTAGGTTGACCATTAGGATGTAAGTTAGTAAGTTGCCTCCTAGCCTCAACCAGGCATACTGCAATATTGTGCAGAAGGTAAGATGATGTACAAATAATATAGCTATAGCTATTCCAGAATGCAGGAAAATTTTAAGTATGGAGCCCCAGAAGAGAGGAAACCCTACCCCTTTGTGCTGACGGTGACGGTACATGCAGATTTCTTTAGTGAAGAGATGGCATCTGGTTGAGGGATCAGGGAAGACTTCATAAAAATGATATCTCTGATGGTTTGTGAAGGAATGGGCTGGGTTTGACA